CATTGTAATGAACTGATCTCTGCGAAAGCATGCCATGCAAGCAGCTTCCTGGCATTCTGATTTGCAGTGATGTGTTATTATGATATGTTATGATATTACTATGAAATTATATTAACGTAAAAGGGCATCGAGCATGTATCTGCCCTACATTTTCATTTGGTTAAGATTAAGTTCTTGTTAGATGATCTGTTTTTTATGTCTAATCTATCAGAGTGTTATTTACTTTCTGTGATGACAAAAAATATATTATTTTTTATTATATAAAGGCAAAGGCTTTCTTTCTCCTCAGATTTGTTGTAAAAAATTAGAAAAGATTAAAGCTGTAAAACCAGATTCTACTAAGTCACCAAAAAGTTTCAGTTTGTAGACCCCTCTAATTAGTGATTAGGAGCAGGGGTTTCCTCTCCATCACCTCCAGTTACATTTTCATAGGACATTTCATTATTTCAATCATAATATTAAATAAAAATTATCTGATGCTTTTATTGACCTTGGGGAATAATTTAAGAATAATGAAAAAACGTTGATAGCTGCAGCAGATGCGAAGTAAGTGAGAACATCTGTGCTTACTCACAGTAACTTCAGAGCTTCCCATAAAGGTGCAGGGCAAAGCAGAGCATCATGGCCAGGAGTTATGAATGGCTGTAAACGACCTCCTGCCAAGGAGAATGTCAGCCAAGTGTCATATCCAAGATCTCCTTAAAGGAATATTGCCAGGCATGGTGGCCCACATCTGTCATTGCAGCACTCAGGAGGTGAGGCAGGAGGATGGTTGTGAGTTCGAGATTAGCCTGGGTTACAAAGTGAGCTCAAGGTCAGCTGAACTGCATAGTGAGACCCTATCTCAAAGAAAAAAAGGAATATCAATTTTGACCTTTAATTAAAGGGAGGGTAACCTCAACTTTCTCAGTGAAGAAGTTTTGCTTAGAGAAACTCACTGCAGAAAAATGGTGTATAATTACCTTGCTCCCCCTGTACTGTCGTTCTGGAGAATATACTGTGTTAAGTACCCCACCTTTACATCTAGATTTTCTAGTTAAAACCTAATGACACTCAGCTTTCCTTAGTGGAGCTCTAACTTTGCACAGCTTCAGGATACACCATAGAAGAGGTAGCCATAGATAAGAGGGGGCCTAGGGTTTCTTAGGGTCCTAGTATGCATTTATACTGCTGAGCTGTCAAAGGATGTTTTATACTAGGATAGTCACTCAGCACAAGAAGTTTTCCTTTTTTAACCCAGAACTTGTTGCTATATCTTGGCTTGGGCTGAAGGAAGGAATACTTAAGTGTATTATTTAAATTATGCTACAAAATAGGTAACAAACTCTTTACCAGGATTGAAATCGAGCTGTATGAATCTTGAGGGAAAACCATCCTATCCCAATACTAGCCTGTATAATATATGGAGAGCCAGCAGAGATTTAGAAATAGAGCAAAGTCAGTACTGGCTCCCGGTTGACAGTTCTGGGTGGCTTGGAGTGACTGTCCATGGTCATAATTTCCATGATGGTCTTCATGGCTTTCTTGGTCTTGAATTCACAAGTCTCAGGGCATGTAATAGGAGATGCCGTCATAGGTACTGAAGACTGTGTGGCTTCACCCAGCATCATGCTAAAATTTTGAGCTACACACTCCACTGTCTCCCAAATTCTGGGTCTCACAAGCATTTTGAAGATTTAAGGTGGCACAATAGAGGCATCCGCATATTCTCCATCTCCCGCGGGTTCCATAATTTGCTCACCCCCCCCCAAAATTTCAAAAGTCTCATTAATGACTGAAGACTCTCACTTAGAACTCTAAGCCTAGGGGAGCCTTGCTTCCCGCTTGCTCTCCTGGTAACTGAGCTAAGCCAGAGACCCTGGAATTTTGGTGAATAAAGTATCGTTCACATTAGATGGATAGGTCTTGCAGACAAAATGAAACTAGTACTCATGTGCAAACATATTACCATGCTGCAATGAAACATCTGGGTTTGGCTGATCTGGATAAGCAAGGTTATGAAGTGAATCATCGAACCTTTTTACATGTCCTCTCTGTTTTGGTTAACTTTCTGGGAGACAGTGCTTTTGAGGCAGGAAATTAGGGCATGGCAAAAAGTCTGGGCAATTGGGTGTCACTTGTCCATCATGGAGAACTGTCAATCACAGAGATTTAGGAAACATTCTCAGAACAACTTGCAAGCCCTGTACCTGATGTCAATCAGAGAATGATGTCTCAGCTCTCCTGGCATGAGGTCAAGCAGTGTTTTGACAGGCTGGCCTTTATCTGACATCAGAACCAGTATGGTACAAAAAGCAGAATTTGAGTGTGGCCTGTGTGAGCCTTTTCACAGGCTTGCCTTGCATACAGCATGTATCTTTTTCCTTCAAAGAACTTTCTCTTCTTTTGCACTTCTTTTTATTCTTTTTGACCCTAAATAAATGTTAACCTTTCATGTTCATTAGTTGTCCAGTTAATTCTTTGAACAGGAGAGCAAGAGCCTGAGAAGAACAGTGATCCACCACTCTGTCCAAAGACAGTTTTCGGAGCAAGTCAGGAGGCAACAGCAGAGAGTGGGAGTGTTTTTGGTCAGGGAGTGGTGGCTCGGGGGAAAGTGGAAAGTTAGGAATTGAAGCCTATAAGACTGTAATGGAATCTGTAATCTTCTGTAAATATGCAAAGTTTTTCAAGGTGTAGAGTATATTCACATTTGTTTCAGGAAGTGAATTCATGATCAATATAGGAATCCAAGCAGTCAAATAGATAAATGTGAAATTTAATTAACTGAGCTCAGGACCACTCGTATATAGATCCCCCGTTTCAGAGTCTCTCTGAGTGGTCTCGAACTAGAGAGTTACAGAGCTTTTAAAACAGAGAAGCACAAAAAGACATCCTGTTGGAAACAGTTTAGCTAGAGTCTTACATTAATTTTTGGTTGACACCTGTATCCTGCTTCTTTGTTGATAAGATTAATTTTTCTCTTGTGGGTGCAGATCATTCTGCTTTTCTCCTGGGACTTATACCCTGAGTAATTTTCCATTCTCCTGAGTCAAATGCAGTGCACTAGTAAAATGCAGAGCTCAAGATGGCATCAGTTATGCCAAGCTACAACATTCCCCACTGGTTTTAGTGCATGAATCAAATCCTTGATTCCTGTCATCCTTTTAAAAGTCATCTTCCTCATTTATATTTCGCAAATCCTCATACTTGGAATGTATTACCATTAATTTAATAGATTGAACTTGGCTTTGGATATAAACAGTTTATCATGCAGGGTCCATAGTAATGGCCAGCAGGAGGAAACCAGAGGTCTTGACAGAGCTGAGAGTAGGGTGGTCTCCACCATCATGGGGTGATGGAGAACAAATTCTCATACCAGCTCTGTTGACAATGTCTCTCATTTTCCCTATCATCTAGGTCCCTTTTGAGCTAAGAGTGTCCCTAATAACTCCTGAATGGTTGGTGTAAAAACAACAAGGTTCACCAAGGGCTAGGCTTAGATCCCCTTGTTTCAAGGGGGTCTAGACCACGTTGGTTCTGAAGGACCATCTCAGTCAGAGCTGCAGGTTATGAATATCAAGTGTGCCCAGATCATGGTTTATTTCTTTGCTTAGTATCTGATAATTTTGGTTTTCTACTATGGGGACCATGGTTCCTAGTGCTGCAGAACCGGCTACTCCTAATCCCCAAAGGACAGGAATTAGGAATGGGGCTCTCTTTTTTCTTGTGATTGGGTAACCCCATATGTTTCCTCCCTCCTTTTTCAGAATACCAGGACACTTGGGGACGAACATGAGTTAAGATACAGAGTACAGGGTCAGGTCCAGTGAAGTCAGCCAGATGAGCACAAGGAGTGAGGCCATTTGTACAGGCAAACCAAGTTCCCGGCAGGGAGACTAAATGTTGGTTGAGGGGGTAAGAGACATTTTGTACATGCACAATTGAATTACAATTGATTCGAAATGGGAAGTACTTCAAGGGGAAACTCACAGACTGAATACAAAGTCCAGAGCCCTGGATGCTTCACAAAGTGAGGGACTTAGGTCCCTGTCCCCACCAGTATGAAGAACCAGAATCAAGATTTGAGGTGTTTACAATCTGGGTTTGATTGTTGGTCCCAACAGTTGTGTTTGCAGCAAGTTCCAAGTCCTAGGGGGCTCAGAATTTATGCATAGCCAACAGTCTTGAGTAATGTTAGAGGATGAGCTGGTAAGTAATTTAAACAACAGGAGGTAAAGGACCACTAGGAAGCCAGGATTTACATCAGTTCTCAGAATTTGTCCCACCCCAGTCTTGATCTGAGTTCCAACAGGACACGAGTAGATATTCTTAAAACTCATGAAATGCTAACTGCTTTAGGAGCTTTACCGAATGGCATTGGTTCAAATAATTCTGTGATAATAACTGCTCTCATATTTCCAGAATCAGGATTGAAATATTTGGGCATTGTAACATGCTCAAATGCATTGCCGAAGAGTTTATAAAGGTGATGCCTTGGTTGTCAGATGGCTCCAATCTTGGACTTTGCACTGCTTCAGCAGCAAAGTTAAAATATAATCTGCTCAGTTTGCAACTTTGTTTGATAGTTAAGTAAAAAAATCCAACACGAAGAATACCTTTAGGAGCTGAGAATCCCGTGCATGTCTCTCTGGCAACACAAAGGCTGACAGATAGAAGAAGCACAGCTTTTCAGCCCTACAAGACCCTCGCCAGATTCCCAGTTCCTGGGGAACCATTCCAATCCTTCCCCTAACATGGAGTGACCAGCTGCAAAAACTCTAGCTGGGAAATGGTCCCCTGAATTTTCACAGGACTAGGACTCTACTCCTGTGATGCACTGAGATACCCGAGGCTCCTCTGGGTACAGATACATAAAGTCACCATAAAGAGGCACGGGTGGCCTAAAATCCCTCTCTGCCTCCACAGTTTCCCGAAAGGGGCACTGAGATCTCCTTTGTTACACAGGCAGCTGGATAGTTTCCCACAGACATTGACTTCTTTCTCATCGGCAGGATTTCGTCAGCCCCACCTGAGAGGCAGGCAGAGAACACACAATCCCCAGTGTGTGGGGCCCTCAGCCCCTTTCACTGCAAGTGTCTGTGTGAAGACAGAGACCACCACTCCCTCATCAAAACACAGATTATGGGGATTTATGTCTCTCGGGGAACTGAGGCAGGAGAGTAAGGCATGGCAAAGAGCTGACCAGTGGAGTATGACCTGTCAATTATGTAGGCCTGTCAATCAAAGAAATTGAGGACACAAACCCAGAGAAACGTGCAAGCCCTGCACTGGATGCCAATCAGACCATGCAGTCCTCAGCTCTCCTGGGGTGAGATCAAGTGGGGTTTTGACTGGACAGTCTACAGATGACATCAGGACAGGGGTTATAAAAGACAGGAGCCATGTGCTCACCTGCAACCCTCATTCAGCGCTTATTTTCCCTTTTAGCTTCCATCACTCCTTCTTTTGCCCTAAATAAATGTTCAGCTTTCACATTCATCGATTGTCCTGTCCAATTCTTTGAACAAGGCAACCAGAGCCTGGAAAAAACTGCAGGACCCCACACCATTGGGCAAGACTGTTGCCACCCTTCAGTGGCGCTTGGAAATGCCACATGGATTGTGGACCAGGCCGACAAGGTAAGGGCTCAACATCTTCCTAACCACGCTGCAACCCTTCACAACCTGGGAAGAAACTTGACATAGAACGGGAAATGGGGTGGAGATACGTAAAGCAACAGCCAGCAGGCTCAGGAAGCTAAATATAATTGTGATTTATAGCTAAGGTAACTCTGTTTAAAAAAAATCATAAAAAGAATGTAATAGTTGAAGGATGAAGGATTTTCAAAAAATCTAATTCTTTATCATTACTGGTAAGTAATTTTAATCATTGAAATCCATTTCAATTTGAATATTTGTAAATAAAGTCCCAGACAATCTAAGAGGATGTTAGTAGACTCCTTATAAAAGTTCTTATAGCTGCTCTTCTTATCTGCACGTGGAGGAGTGCTCTGTGGATAGTGGGCCTGAAAGAGAGAGCGCAGTAATTATTCATGTGCAAAACCTCTCTTTTGATGTTTTTTCTTTTAATTTTCAGAAAGTCATTTCCAGATAATCTTTGCCATTTTCTAAATTTAAAGAAAACATTTTTGTCAAAATTTTATCAGCTGTTGCTTCTTTTGTACTTTGTGACTTGTTTGAAAAAAATCAGGTGAAATATTTATTTATTTTCAATATTTGATATCCAGATATCCAATCCAACATGCTAACTTCCTCTGTTTGAATCCAGGAAATGTGCTTTCCTTGGAGTTGCTTGAAAACATATCATTTTTGAGTTAAATTCCCAGTTCTATTTCGCTTGTATTAAACGGTCTCCAGGGCTCTGCGCTGGCGTAACATGTAGAAGACTTTTTAACTCAGAGTGCTGCCTTAGGAGGAATAATGTAACTCATGGTCTAGTGAACTGGGAAGGGCACTTCTGCCAGAGACGCCCTCAGAGCTGGGCACACACCTGCTGGAGCAGGAGGAAGTGGCTCTTGTCCTAGGGTCAATCCTCCTAGATAGATGGAAGCAAAGCCAGCTAGTTTTTGCTTTAATACCTTAGTTTAGAGTTTTATTTTGTGTCAGAAGGAAACATCGCTACAGATTAGCCTGAGGATAGAAAAAAGCAGCCCCACAGAGGCCCTTAGCGATGAAAGAGAACTGAGGTGCGGTGTCTAAACGCCCCCTCTGTCTCTCTCCTTTGTCTTCATCCTCCCACTCCTGATGTGGGCTCAGCACAGCCTCCGAGAGCCAGCGGGAGATTCTCAGTGGCCCAGGCTCTCACAGGCTCCCACCAGGCAGTCTCTCTGTGGGTCTCTAACCTAGTAAATTATTCAGCCTGACTGTGGAATTGATGAGCTCTGTGGGTACCAGTGCTCACAGGGAGACAGGCTGAGCTTTTCACAGTAGCTAAAAGGCACTGGAAGAACTTTTCAGAAAATTTTGTTAACAAAACAAAAGATTTCCACTCATACGCAGTCACAGCCTTTTAAAGTGAATTTCTCCTCTCTGTGATAGCACAGTCCTGCAGTGGCCTGCTTAGTTACCTGGGAGTTTCCTAAGGACAAGGACATGCCTATCTTTTTCTCTTTTGTATTTTCTGGGCCTTTTATTGCGTCTATTGTTTAGTAGTCCATTACTTGTCTATATCTATATCACTTGTGTCTACCGGTATGTCTCTATGTACACCTGTTCTTAGCAATGAGGAATTCTTCCTCTATTCATGACTTTGCAATCTATATATAACTTTTACTTTAGATTTTTTTTACTTCTGTAGTGCCTTAGTTGTCGAGGACTGCCTGGATGGCTCTCCCTGAATACAGAGCAATGACCTCTGCTTAGTCTAAACCTGGCCCCATCTCCAAGCAGTGATATGTACAGAGCTGGCTGAGCCATTTCCTTTTCCCTCCAACTGGCTCTAAGCAAGATAGCCAGGGCTCGCCGAGGTGCTGATGTGTAATCTTAGAAACTAGGTGATGGTTGCTGTTTCCCAGCCTCAGCGTCTCCCTAAAGATAGTTGAGCAGGATGAGATGGCACAGCCACTGCTCCAGGGCTGTCAACTGGGTTTGAACCTTGAAATAAGAGGCTGTGGCTTCCCAGGGACAAACATTTGCACATCAGAGCTGAAGCACTGCCTCCTAAATATTAAGTGCCACCTGCTTAGTCATGGTATGCAGATCGGTCTTTCTGAACATTTTCCTCTCTGCATGCTGCAGAGGTGCTTTCTGGCCTCTACATAGCCCAGATCACAGCACTCATGTTTCTTCCACCAGCCTCACTTCACTCATCTTCAACCACTCCTTTCTTCATGGATTTTACTAATTTACTTTATTAATTAATAAAATTCAGGTTAGGCCTTGGGTTGAGGCCTTTGTTCTGATGAAACTTCATCCTGGCCAAACTTAGGACCCCTTGGGTCCCCATAACTGTAAATATGTTTTAGCATCTTTATTCTCACCATGGATTGCACTGGAATTAGTAGATTGGAATTAACTGGCTAGAATTCCAATAACTTCATGGAGAAGTATCTCCATGAAGTTATTGGAATGTAAATATATTTACAAATATAAACCCTCTTGGACTGTGATGAGGATGCGAAAGGGATCTCTGTACTTAATTACTTTTCTTGTTGCTAAGGCAAAATACCTGATACCCAAAATTAAAGGAGAAAAAGTTTGGTTATCATTTTATAGAGGTTTCAGTTCAAAGTTGGCTGGCTCCCAGACAGGGTAGCATTGCAGAGGAAAAACAGTTCATGGCAGGCAGAAGGCAGCATGCTACAAGTGATAAACAGTGATCTTCTGTGTGTCTCTTGTATTTTTTTTTGGGGGGGGGCTACCTGCACTTAGAGTGGCTAGCACTCAAACTCAGGGTGGGGCATCCTTAATCCTACCCAGAACTATACTAATCAATCAGTGGACTGATCTGGTAACCACACTCTTGATCAGAGCATCACATATCCTAGATATAGCCATTTCCCAAAAGCCCCACCTAGAACTGCATGAAGCTTTGCAGGGGACATCTAGATACAAGTCACTGCATGTACCTCCCTATGAGGAAGGTGTGCTGGAGAGACTAGACATCTCCCCCAAAGTCACACATACATTTGTGATCAGATTATGATTCAGATCAAGTCTCCTGTGAATTCGAAACTGACTCCTGTATGCTGAGAAGTGAATGCATTCTATGTTTTCTCCTTGGGACTTGAAGGTGAAGTTAAGTGTTAGAACACTTGCCTAGCATGCACAAGGCCCTGGGTTTGATCCCTGGAGCCCAAAACTTAAAAAAAAAATACATTTGCTTAACTATTTTTCATATTCACTACAGGATTATTGACCCTTGGATGCCATGGATTGTTAAACAGAAGAGAAGCATCATAAATAATGCCAATAGCAGGTTTTTCCAGAGTCATCAAAACAATTCATTGGAAGCTTTAGTTGTTAGACCAAGCCACAGCCTTAGAGATAAATGTGCCTTTTTTTTAAACATACCTTTTTGATGCTCTCTTTTCCAAAAATAGGTTCCTACTCCACTTGTTTATCCTAGACAGGGAAAGTGTCCAGGGACTGGTGTTTCAAGATAGGGTCCCTAAAGAGTCCTAGAAAGTCTGTACAGCTTTCAGGGCTGGCAACTCAGTAGTCCATTGTTAAGCATAAACCAGAAATAAAAATTCTTCATGTGAAGAAGAGTAAGTAACATTGGAAGAAAAAAAGCTAAGAAAATAAGCTAAGTATGATAATTTATCGTGGTGTAGAGAAGAGAATATCAGATAGGATTTGAGAAAAGCCACCATCACACCTCAAATTCATGTAAAAGGAATGAATTGCAGTGAAGTGATGTTAGAAAACAAATCAATTAGATTTTTAAAAGCTTCCGAATAGATGGTAATCTTCTGAGTGTAAGGGTTAATATGTGCACACACGCATATAAGTAGAGAATGAATACTTGATAAAGACATTGGAAATTACCCTTACTATTTGAATAGTAACATACAGTAATATTTAGAAAGGTATTTAAAGAATTTTTGTTTCTGAGTTTTCAGAAATAAGACCAAAATTTTTGTTTCCAAAATGTTTACCCATCTTCTGAATTAAAGTTTTTCTATTTTTCCCTTTGACCCAGCAACTCACTTGGTTATACTTAGAAATGATGGTTTTTAGGCATTATCATTAAGAAAACACATTTAAAAATATATCTGATGAGGAGATAATCAACTTAGAATTCAACATAATACAGGGTGGGGAGCCCCAAACAGAGGGAGATGAATTATCCCATCCCAAGAAGAAATGAAGGCAACTTGCTGACCATCCAAGGTCCCCACGCATCCTGCCACAGCTTGCTGAGGTCCTGCTGCGGCTGGACAGGCTCCCACAGTGACTTGCTGAGCTGTCTAAGGTCCTGCTGCTTCGACATTGAATTCAGGGCCGGCGAGCCAAAGGAAGAGCTGAGTTGGCAGATTGTCTACATTGACCTGTGGTGAGTGACAGGAGTGGAGTCATTCCATAAATAGGGGGGCTCCAGCGAATGACATTCTGGGACCAGGCAGGGCTGGCAAGTACAAGGGGCAGCAGCAATTTCAGTCAATTGCTCCCTTCCTGAACAGGATTGTTGGAATGAACTAGGCCTGGGTCACGTGACCTGGCTGAGACCCAATAGGTTATCTGAAATCAAGTCCCTACAGTGGTGGCACACACCAACCCCACTAACCCAGTGAAATCTCAGAAGTTCGACTGACAGTGCAGACAACAGCAGCTTGACTGACCCAGAGGGGTGGCATGCAAAGAAATGCAGTGTACGTCACAGCAACTTGACTGATCCCTGCTCTGTGGCACTCCAGCTATCACCTGCAGCACCTCTGGGCCCCCAGCAAGACCTGTAGCTGCAGGCCTGGGAGTGACTGGGTGCCCCCTGGCTGCTCCTCCCCCTGATCCCATCGCAGCTGCCAACCCACAAGGGAGGTGGTGCAAAGTCCGCTGCTGCCTCCCCTGCTGTGCTCCAGCCACTGCCACCCAGAGGAGAGGTGACTGCAAAGTAATACAGTGCGGGTCACAGCGCTTGACTGATCCAGAGAGGAGGTGACAGCATATGCTGACATGGCAGTGGGAAGGGTCATCTAGTCAGCACGCTTCAGAAGAATTGTAACCAACAAAGAAAGAAACTGGGGCCTCCTGAAAGAAGCAAAAAAGATGGGAAGAGGAAGCAACAACAAAAATTCCCCAGGTCCCAACATTGAGAACATTGACCCAGGACAGGTAAATACAAAGGAAAAAGAGAACAGCAAACATGCAATATCAGACACAGCACAAGTGGACATAAAGAGATATATTTGGGACCTCATGGATGAGTTCAAAAGTGAAATATTTAGCCAAACAAAGCAAGATATAAGAAAATTAATTAAAGAGATACTAAGCACCCCTCAAGCAGACACAGTTGGAAAAAGGGAGGAACTCAAAGGAGAGAACCATTTGATGAAGAATATAAAAAAATATAGAATACATGAAGCCAATTCAAAGAGATCACTAGGAAATTAAAACTCTATGGAAAGATGGCAAATCAGCTTGAAAGAAACTAAGGATAGATTATCCAAACTGGAGGACAATTTTGCAATATGGGAGTATGAAAGGAAAAACTTTTTAAAATAACAAGGAAACAAGCAGTAACAATACAAGGGCAACAAGATGACAAAAGGATCTATAACTTGAGAATAAAGAATGTGAATGAAGAAGCTGGAGTAAAAACAAAGGAACTACAAAGGTTATTCACAGAAATAATTAAGGAAAACTTCCCAAACATAGGAAAAGGAAATGATATTTTGATATATGAGGCATGCAGAACTCCAGCCACCTACAACCAAAACAGAGCTACACCCAGGCATATAATAATCATGATCCCAGAAATTCAATAGAAGAACAGAATATCAAAAGCTGTTAGAGACAAGAAACAGATAACCTATAAAAGAATGCCCATCAGAATCATGGCAGACTTCTCACCACAAACCATCAAGTCAAGAAGAGCCTGGAGCAAAATATTCCAAGCCCTGAAAGAAAATAATCTCCAGCTCAGACTGATATACCCTGCTAAACTATCTCTAGAAATTAGTGGAGAAACAAGATGCTTCCAAGACAAAGCAGAAGTTGGGAAATTCACAACCACCAATCCAACTCCACAGAGAATACTGCAGGGCATTCTAGAGACAGAGAGAAAAGTACTAGGATTCCAGGCACAATGGCAGAGAGGCCTCAATGAATGGAGCAGAAAACAGAATGAAGAAGATAAGCAAACAACTGATGGCAAAAAACAGCATAACAGAAATGAGGCAGAGAAGATTTTATTCAAAACTGATATGACTGATAGTATCAAGTTTGAGAGTATAGTCAACTACACTGAAGATGATAAGACTCCATGATACACATTCTGGTTTGATAAATGCCGGTTTTTGAAGTTCTATACTATATACAAAGTTGTATTTTTAGTAATACTGTTATGTACTAATATATTCAATTATACTATGTCTGATGATATAGCCAATTCTATTGGAGATAACAAGAGACAACACAGGAACCATGGTGGCACTCTTTGTACAACAGTCTTATATGTTTATTTCATTTCATGTGTTTATAACAATATGTTTTTTTTGCCTTGCCTTGTTTCTCCCTCTAATATAAAAAGGATAGAAATACATGTAAAGACTCATGCATGTGTAAAATCTATAAACAGTTTATGAGAACTGATCTTATGACACATGATGAAATGAACAGATACTTTGAAGAAAAAAGAAACACTAAAATACCCAGTCCTGATCCTGAAGTGTCATAATGTGAAACCCAGCAATAGTATTATTCTTTGTTCAGAGTGATATTAGCCTGCTTGGGTTTATTCATTGTCAACATAATTGAAGATATGGATAACTGCATGTATGTTTAAGTGTATAGGATTGATAATCATATTTCTAAGTTTTTGTTGGATAGTTGAACAGAACTAGCTGCAATCTCACTGTTTGAATCCCTACTTTATATGTTCCACTTTAGTATCTTGAATAACTAGTGATTTCTTAGTGTTTATTTTTTTGAAATTATGTATTATTTCTACTTGTTTTTCTGTTCTGTTTAGTCTTTCTTTAAATTAAATTTTTTAAAAAAGGCACTACAGTACCCAGTGCTGAACACAGAGTGTCATGATGCGAAATCCAGAAATACTATTATTCTTTGTTCAGAATGATTTTAACCTGCTTTAGTTTGTTTAATCTAAACATAAATGAAGATATGGATAACTGCATGTATGTTTAAGTGTATAGGATTGATAACCATGTTACTAAGTTTCTGTTGGACAGTTGAACAGAACTGTTTGTGGTCTCGCTGTTTGAATTCCCACTTTACATATTCCACTCTTGTACCTTGAACAACTATTTGTAAAATGACAATATATAAACATCAACTAGTGATTTCTTACTGTTTATTTTTTTCTCTGAACATATGTATTATTTCTACCTATTTTCTGTTTTGCTTAGTCTTTCTTTAAATAAAATTTAAAAAAAGAAAATATATCTGATAGATGTTAGTCCTTGCATTGACCCAGTTTCTGTTACTCTAGTGAAATACATTATAGGACTGGTCACTATGTAAAGTAAAGAGGTTGGCACAGCTCACAGTTCTGGAAGTCCAGGAGCACGATGCTGACAGGTTGGCTCCAGTGAGGATTTCTGGAGTGTGACACTGCAATGGCAGGACTATGGGCAAGAAAGTGGGAGAGACCACAAGAAAGGACAGGAAGTCATTGAGACCAAGGTGTTGAGCCCCGCCAGCAGTGATCCAAGGATCTCCTTGTAGATCATCCCGCTTATGGACCCCAAGACCTGTTAACATCGTCACACACAGACCAAGTTCCCAACACATGAACAACTGAAGAGCAAACACATCCACACCATAAAAGCCATTAGTTTCATATTTAAACTCACTTAGCTATCATTTCTCCATTCAAAACTTCTTGTTGACTCAATTTCTTCAAAAGCCTAATGAGAATAGGAGAAAAACCTGAATATACCCTTCACAAGCTTAAAATTCTTGATGGGCTTCTTTTACCTCTAAGACTTCTGAGCTCTTGCATTACAAAAATTTTAATAGGTATGTGTTGTGATATTTTGTGGGCTGATACTAATATATTGCTTTAAAAGTCATTGATTTGTATTTTTCATGACTTCCCGCATTCTTTTCATCTGCAACCCTAATTTTTCATAAACTTATGTCTAAAATTGTCCATCCAGGAAAATATAACAGATAAGAGGAGGAGGAGACCCATGATCATTTCTGTTACTTGCCTTATCCTACCCTGCTTGACTATTAGAGACACAGTTTCCCTGTCACATCAGAGAATATGCACACTCATTCAGAGCTACAATATGGTTGATTGTTGATGCTTTGAAATGGCTTCATTTACCATTTCAAAGCTGAAATTTCCCACCTTTCCTTCTCCAAAATAGTTCTGAGACTTCAACCTCTTTGGTAAACATTTGTTGTTGCTGTTATTGTTGTTCAGCAGAAAATGATGCTAGAAAGAACTCCAGAAGCACTGTTTCCTGTGGTTAAGGCAGCAATCTCTGGAGAGTAGTTGCTCCTGGAGATCTGAAGATTACTTTATTACAATAGAGAGGCTTCTAGGTATCTTTACATTTAAAATTATTCCTTTACCTGGGAAAAGATGCAATTCATATCTGTCACTTCTGCTTTTGATCCATGGTCACTACAAGTCACCTACATGTAGAAGAAATTTCTACATAATAAATGCAAGTAAATTCCCTCTGTGTCTCTGTCTCTGTCTGTCTCTCTGTCTCTCCTAAACATACACAAACGCCACTTTTTATTGTCTATCTACAGAAAAGAAGAAAACAAGTTAGCAAGCTTGCTTTGAGTACCTTCAGTGTGAAAAGAGTGTTACTTGTGTTTAATCACTGCTGACTGGCACATAGCAGCTCCTCTCCCAGTCTCCTGCAGCTGTGGGTGGCCAGGAGATGGTCTGCCTTTGATCTCTTCCCAGGAGTACAGTCTTCCTCACTACTCATGCTTCGGCAGTGCACAATCTCCGTAGCAGAGGACAGAGAAAACTCCAGTATGTTAGAAAAAGAATTTTAAATCTATTTCTTCTTTTATATAATTTTGAAAAACTAGATGTTCATTCTAGTTTAAATAACATGCAAGCTGTTAAAAAATGGTCTCGTGATTAAAAGTAAGATAAATTAGAGACCAAAAGGTAATATATATATGTATATATATGAACTAAAGCTCACATTTGCTGTGAGAAATATACCTTCTACAAAGAAGCCCCTTTGAAAATGAGACTCAAAATGTTCCATACAAAATACTATGAGGTGTATCTTAAAAATCAAGAATCACTAATACACGACACAGAAAGTTTCAAGAGACAGGTAAGCAACCACCAGCAGAATTAGAACTTAATTGAGTTAGTATCTTATTTAAAAATATGAATGTAAAGAAAATGATTTACTTGGACTTTTCTAAGTCAATCATGCCTAAAATGTATGGTAAGACATCTATAAGCATGTCACTATGAATTAAAATGAGGAACATGAATCCTAAAGTAGTGAAAGAAAAAATGAAATGTGTAAAGTCCATCAATTTAACTGAAGATAAAAATAGGGGAAGAAATGTAAGAAAACAAAGAACAGAATTAACAGTTAAAAATAAAACTGAGTAAATCAAAATGACAAAGTCATGAATAACTTAGGAGTACCCTAAACCTTTATGTACCTAAAAATATAGCTTCAAAATATGTAAATTGCCAGAAGTTAAAGGTGAATTATATGAATATATTAACACAACTTTCTCAATAATTGAAACACCCACCAAATTCTAATATTCTTAGCATGACATGCGTGGTCTATATGTTTATACATTCAGATGTTGTTTAAATACAGGCAGTATCCCGAGGAACATTAGGTGACTTCATCCTACACAGCTTAGGTGGCCGACTACTGCCCACCCAGCCTGTCTGAGGAAGCCTCTGGCTCCCAGACTACAAGCCTCTGACTTCACTGTTACTGTAGACAGCTGTCATATAATGGCAAGTATCTCAGCACATCTAGATCGGTAAGCTAGAGTAAAAACACTAGGTGATGAAAATTTTCAGCAGAATTGTAGCCTTATGTGACCATCATCAAATATGCTGTCAGTTGCTGACTGAAATGTTGTTGTGCAGTGTATGAATACATTAATATTATAAACTGTTATTAGCCAAGGTGACCATCCAGAAACACACATCTTTCTTGCTATTTAGCTGCTGGTTACCACAATTGGTTAGATCTAAGAATGTTAAAAGCCCACTGCTTTATAACTTGCCTTCTAGATAGTTAATAAAGAAAATATCAAATAATTGTGCCAAAACAAAAAGGTGTCACAAATTTAAATACCAAGAAAGTACAGAAATATTCTGTACACCCTGTCTAATGCTGCAATGCTGCTCTCAGAATTGTTGCATGTATACTTTATGCTAAATGGCATATTGTATGTCCTTTTCAGATGTAAGAACAGATTTGTTCCAATATCAGTTTATCCAATATTAGTTTTACATACTTCTGAATAATCTAATTTCTTGTAGATACTATATATGGTACATAATATACTAATTTATAAATAATTTCATATAGTTGTATATATAATTAATGATGTAAAATATTCCTATAAAATTATTCATAAATTAGTATATAGTATATAGTATTCATATATTAGTATATAGATAAAATTAGACCACATTGTCTATGAAATTTATTTCTGATATAGGAACACTATAAAACTATAAGCTAAAAGTTAAAGAACTAAGCTCTGAATTCAGTGATTAAAAAATAAATAATGGAGTAAATGAAACTCAGTCATAAGAAGTGTAGATATTACTAAAACAGAGATATCATAGAGTCTGAGAGATGTGTAGCTTTCTTTTTGAAAACTATGACAAAATAAACCTCTGAGAGAGAGACAGAGAGACAGAGAGACAGAGAGACAGAGATAGAGACAGAGAGACGGAGAGACAGAGAGACAGACAGAGATAGAGACAGAGAGAGAGCGCTAGAGAGAGTGCACAAATACATAAATAATGCTAAAAACAAAAACTGGAAATAATACTAACGCAATGTTATAAAAATTTATTTCCAATATTAAAAGCAAAATCATGTATTATTTTAAAATAATACATTAATAGAACTGAATAAAAAGAATAGAAACTAGAAAAACACTGAACATTTAGTTAAAACTAGCATCTGTTTCAAAACATCTATCTTAGATGGTTTAAAAAGGTCATTGTTCAACACGCTCCATTAACAGATCATTTTGTGATGACACAAACAGAAGACTGGAATAACCGTGGTGTGTAATCGTAAGATCACTGCAACTGTAGAAATAACACATGCGAACTGTAGTGAGCTTTCCAGCCTCAGCAATGAACACTGAGCTTGCCCTCTCTAGACAGTCAGTCGATGTTTGCAGAAAATCAGCAGGACAAAAGTTAACCACCACACAATGATCATGTTGGCTTTATCCTGGATATCAAAGTGGCTGCATATCAAAAAAAATCTTAAAGTATTCAAAAAATCTGAACCTGTATTTAATAGATTATAAAGAAAAAGAAACATCTCAGTAGAAACAGAAACTCAACTTTAATTTTTGATAATTCCTGAAGCACAGAGGTTTTCAGTCCGTATTTACTTTCCCACAGCTCCTTCTTGAGAGAAAACTTGCCAAGAATGGAAGGAAGGAAGCTACTATTTCAGAACGAAGTTGCCAAATTTTATACCAGGCAAAAAAGTTCTAAGGAGAGAAAGATTTTTCTGGTTGCTACAGGGCAAGAATTTCTTCTTTAGGATAATGGTGGCTATGTACATCTGAATCTGTTCACAATACACTATGGAAACGAAAATATATTCACAAACTGTTATCTGCAAATACAGAAATAAACACGACATCTTTTTTTTTAAAATTTTATTTGAAAGGAAAAAGAGAAAAAACAAAACAAAACAAAGCGGTGTAAGGGTACAAGTAATACAGAACTACAAAAAAAAAAAAAAAAAAAACAACCAGTAAGAAATCACCAGTTAATAGATTACATATTATCATCTTAGAGATAGTTGCTCAAATCACAGTATCAAAGCATACAAAGTGGACATTCAAACAGTGAGACTGCAAACAGTTGTGTTCAATGATCCAACCAAAAACATTAATATGGTCAGCTATTTAACACCCCTAAACACATTTGCTGTTGTATCCTTTAGAGCACTTTTTTTCCCCTTTCTTTTTTACAACAAAATTTACACATTTTGGGTTTTATTACTCCTTAGTTCTTATTACTTTGTTGGGGGGGAGAGAATAAAGTCAAATATGGCAAAACAAAGCTGTCAGTCAAAACCAAGGATAGACATAGCACATGATATAAAACAGAGCACAAGGTTATCAACAATAGTTATCAACAATGTCTCTTGTTTCCTTAAAAATAATTGTCTATCTCATTAGATATTATAAAGTTGAACAAAACAGTAGAGAAC